TCCATAGTTCCTGCTCCATCTTCTGTATTTCGCCTCGGGGGCAGTACTCAGCCGTCAGCATCTCTTTCATCTCTGCCCAGGGAATAGAGTTGGCTATAGGGAGTGTCATAGCTTCCACATGACCATTCCACCAAGTGAGTGCTTGGTCCACCAAAGTGCAGGCCGCGAACTTCACTTTCATCTGCTCGGGGCACTCGCATATCTCGAATACCGATTCTACCTTCTCGATCCATCGCTTTAGGGCGATCACTCCTCCGGTACCGTTGAAAGTTCGGGGTTTAGCGTTCGCAAAATCCTTGTAGGTGCATGTTCTAGTGAGTCCTTGGTTCGTCCCGTTGTTCGAACTTCCAGATCCTTGCCCGTTACCTCCTCCGTTGTTCCCTCGGTGAAGTTGTGCCATCGCTGCTGTGACTGCAGCAGACACAGCTGCCTGGAAAGCAGTGGAATCAGCTTCGGGCGGGGTTGGTCCTGGGTTTCCGCGAGTAGTTGGGCGAGGCATCTTTCTGTCATGAAACGGAAAGATGTTGAGTGTTCGTGGTTTCTGAGAGATTGCGACCCTACTATCTAGGTGTATGGTGCGAACCTAAACATTACTATCATCAAGCATGCAATCATAATGTCTCAACACATAGCAACTAAGAATAATTTAGCAAAACACACAAAAGTTCATTAATATTATCCGCATTTAGTACAAGAAAATTTGCTCGTAGGAGCATACATAGATAACGCTAATCCGACAGCATAACGGCTCCATGAGTAGTGTAGTCACTTAAACATAGAGCCGGAGTACGTAACATAGTTCCTAATGATCTACTATGATAAGTCTACCCCTAACCGCGATGAGTTGCGTCAGGAGGTGGTGCCGAAGTCATATGCCGAAATGTTGTGTCAGTAGCTGCGCCATCTCTGCCATGTCTCCTATAACCTCATCCCTCTCATGCTCTGCTTGCACTGCCCGAGCCTCCATCGCATACAGCTGTTGTCGCAGTGCAGCGATCTCAGCTTCGAGGGAACGGTTCTCTCCTGGGGTGTCCGCTGGTGGAGCAGGGTGATCGGGTTGGGCCTCGTCCTCGCATGGCGGGATGGGGTTCTGGTCCCCGACCCGACCGTCTTCGTCGTCATCGTCGAGCTCGCTAAATTCGTAGTCAGTGTCTATGTATTCGTCGGGTCCGACATCGTGTGCTTCGCCTGGATTCCCTCCTGGCTCATCCACAAGCATCCCGTGAGCTACTAAGGCCTGATAAAACTGAATACCCTGCTGCTCCTCCTCTAGCCACCCGTTGTTTCCCTGATTAGGGAAGTAGGGGTCTCCCGGGTGATGAAAGCCAGCCATGTTGTCTGCGCGAGTACGTAAATATGCTAACATTATCCTAGGATGCTATGACTATGGTACAGACTAAGCAAACATTCTCTTTTTGGGTGATAAAGGGTATAGTTTTAGGTTCCCTGGCTATTCCGATCTCATCAAGACGTGTGTTAGTTTTACCTTGGAGAGAATGTAGTTGATCAGGTTACATTCACTCCTCGGTATCACTAAGAACAGTCCCGAATTAACCGAGATACCAGTATTATTGTGTTTGATTCGACGTTAGGTTCTTATCCTAATGCAAGCAAGTGTTTTATTTACTTGTTTTGTTCAGAGTTATGTTAGTCCCTCTTTTTGGTTTATAGTTGCATATCAATGTATGGCTCGACATGCTAGTTCACTATAAACAAAGCTCTGATACCAACCTGTCACACCCCCGAACCAGACGGCGGAAACGTCCGAGGGCTTGCCGTGACTCAATTGTATACCATAACATTGAATATATATGAAACATAACAACATTCGTTACCATTCATCAACATATTACAACCAGTAGTGTTTACATATCCATCGTTGCTTAAACATTACATTTCCAAAAATTAAATTGTTTGATTCTACAAAATAAACTGCAACCGTCACTGAATGTGATTTCCCTTGATTCACTGGTTCCCTGAGAATACAAGTATTTTGAAAAACGTCAACATATGAAATGTTGGTGAGTTCATAAGTAGTGTTTAAAATCGAATGTTTGCATTGTTTGAGAAACCACCAGAAAATCCGATATTTTCTGAAAAAGGAACGCTTTCGAAAAAGGTTTGTGAAGATCCATAGGTATGCTTTGTTTGTTTCTATACAAAAAAAATGTTCATTTAAGTTGTATGCCTTTCAAATTGTATGTGTTGAAAACCCTAGGAAAACCCGATGTTCTCCTAGTACTTTGAGTTACACGAAGTTACGTTGAAACCATTGCATAGCGTAGAGTGTCAGTCCCGGGCGACGTTGGAAGGTTCTCGAGCATTGATTATTTACTACAAACCCGCGTTACACAAACACCCAGTTTGTAGTTATACTAACGACTCCGAAGGTGTCGTCAGTACTAATCACGTTATCCAATCGCCCTGACTATGAGTGGTCCCACATCCGAAGAGAAAGAGGTCACGAAGACCCCGGTAACTCCATTAGCCGGTTGGGGATAAAATGTACGAGGGGTCCAGACCCGCCTCGCATAAAATGTAGACCTTACTAGCAAGACCAAAGGACCCTTGGGGACCGGTGGTAAACAAGCCATTGAAAGTCCATTTACGTTGTGTCGGATCGGTAAAACCCAACACTCCGTAAAAAAAAATGTCTTCGGGCCTTAAGATCAGGTCATTGGCTAGCTAGGCTCAACGAACAAGATTTTACACTTGTGGGGCCCAAAGATGGTGCATAGACGTCTGCGCACACTCGTATGTGTATGTATAACCAAACGTTACTTGTATGAGTTGTAGTGTTAGTAGTTGTAGATTTTTATTGGCTCGAGACCGAGCCAATTCGTTTAACAACGACTTTTGGTATTGTAATGTTTTGTATTTCGTTGATAGTCGCGATGCCATTATTTGATCAAATTGTGTATATTGAACTAGCCTTGAAATATTTCTGTTTTCAGCCCCTCATCATTTGTAAAAATTACATTTTTAACCCTTTATATAAAATACTTCCCGGTTTAGTCCTTAAACTATTTTTCTTGACATTTTAATACCAAAAATTATTGAAATTAATATTTTTCAACATATTTTTCATAAAAACAGTTTAAGTTCCTGGAGATGCAGTTTTTACGGTTTTAATCCCTTCTTTTCGCAACTTTTACAATTTTGGCCCAATTTGGAAAATTTTGCAACTTTGGTCCTTTTTAAATTTAAAAAGCGTTTTTAACCTTTGAAAAGGAGTTGGAACACTTATAGTCCACTGTTTTACAGAAAGTTACGGTTTTGGCCCTCCAAAACAGAAAAATTTGCATAATGGGCCTTATTGGGCCGAAAATTACAATTTTAGCCCATTAAGCTTAAAATTTATGATTTTAGTCCACTAAATGAGTATATTTCCAGAAATTTACTTATGAAAACTGTTTTAGCACACTTCATCCATCGGAATCTGTGAAATGACGATTTGGACCCTTATTTTTGCATTTTTCACATTTTAGGCCCAAAATTTGTGTTTTTAACCCAAAGAAATTATCATTAACTACTTAGCCAATTTTTCTTGAAGCACTTAGTGTTTAGAAATATATTTGAAGTTAAAATCATGTAGCACAAGTTACATCTCGGTTTTGATGAGTTTTGAGGCTAGATCCAACATAAAAACACATAAAAGCATACATATAAGCATAAAAATCATACAAGGCACACAAATACATATAGATCTACACATATGACTTGTATTCTCCCCCCAAAAACAAGTGAAAACAGAAAAGAGGGGGTATGAAGCTCACCTTGGGGTGTTGGTTCGGTTTTTGCAAGGAAAATGGAAGGAAAAATGAAGTGTTTTTGGCCTTGGCTCCCTTTGATGAAGATCTCGAGTTTTGAGAGGGTTCTAGGATGCTAGATCACGATTTTTGCATAGATTAGGAAAGGATTTTGATAACAAAAGAATTTAAACCATAGATCTATGCATAATCTTACCTTAGATGATGATTTACTTGCAAAATCCTCTTGGAAAGTCCCTAATTTTCGAGATTTTTGGAGAGGGGAGGAAGGGAGTTCTTGAGTGAATCTAGAGAGAAATGGAGATATTTTTGGTGTGTGTATGTGTATATGGCCGAGAGTGAGAGAGAGGAGAGAAGAGATGTGATCTTGAGGTGATACTTGCATGGGAAAAGGAAATATCTTGCATGGAGATCCTATGGACAATAGTGAGGTGGCAACCAAAGTCAACTTCCCTTGGATTTGGGCCTTGGGCCGAGAATATGAAGGGAAAAAGGAAAAATTTGGGCTTTTGCCCCTAAGCCCAACATTAGAGGTAGTTTAGGGTATTTATTGGCCTTATAAAATAAAATTGTGGTTTTTATGCTTTATTAAGCTAGGTTAGGTTAAATTATGGATCAAAACTTGTGTTTTATTTCATTCTCGGTTCTACCTAGCCCAAATTATTGAAATAAACGAGTGTGGGTCTAATTAGAGCCCAATTAGGGTCCTAAACCCATGATAGTCCAATTGGAAGCTTATTGGTCCATTTGGATCCAATAAGGAAGTCTTAGTCCAAAATGGACCTAACAAGAACTTCTAGGGTCTCCAATTGTTTGATGACTACTTATAGTACTTGTATTTGATTGAAGTTTTTGATTCACATTAGGTTGAATGCATAGATTACATGGCTCAAAATTTACAGTTGTGACAAAAAGCCTTCTCCCACCAAATATTCTCTTGATGGCAATATTCGTCGCAATCAAAGTTCATTTCCAAGGTGTGTTCATCAATAAATCTTCTTTTACTCTGATGGTATTCATCACGTGTTCAAGAATATCGACATTGATTGTATGTCGCATAAAGAATTTTTTGGTGTTCTTGAATGATTCACACAAGAGAAGTGTGAGAAGATTTATTGTTGTTTGTCGGATTTAAAAATCCCATAAGGTTTAGCAGTGATTTCTAATGAAGGTGAATATCAAAAGTTTATAGAGATTGCTTACCAAGTTGGAGTACAAGTTCTTGTATACATGGACCATTTTGGTACTAATCTACAAGTATTCTCTACTGGAGTAAGTAAGGAAAATGAAATTGAGGACAATTGTTCTATTATGTCAAACATGTCAATGGAAATGGAAGATGGTGTTGACTTAACTGAGTTCATGAGTCCACGGAAGAGCAACATGGAAGGAGTACCCTATGATGGAGTAAGTCAGGGAGATGGAAATGGGGATGCCATAGAAGCTGAAATCCCAGAAGATGATAATGTCCCAAATGTGAAGGGTAAATCAAGGTTTAATGAAGAGATACCTTGGAAGAAGTTGTTGCCAATTCTAGTTTTGATGTTTACCAATCCTAAACAATTGAAATTCTTGCTTTGTAATTATGTTGTAGCCAATGGGTACCAACTGTACTATGAAAAAATTAACAGTAAAAGATTATTGGTTAAGTGTTGTGATGGTAAATGCAAATTTAGTCTCTAGGATTCATCGATAAGTGAAGAGCATTCATTCAAAATCAAGTCCCATATTAATGATCATTATTAGGCCAGAAATTTTAAATTAGGGTCAATTGTTATTTATCGATGGATTGGTAGTCATTTCCCTAGAGAAGTTCTTAATAATGAGAAACTCAATGTTACGATGCTAAAAGAAGAAGCAAAAACTAAATTTGGCATATATGGAAGTTTGAGACAGTGTAGGAGAGCTAGGAAACATATAGTGTCTCTTGTTGAAGGTACCATAATAGAAAATAATGCAAAGTCATGGTCCTATGGTGAAGAGGTAAGAAAGTCTAATCTAGGGTCAACAGTCAAGTTGTCTGTATACTATATGCCAAATGGGAAAACTTATTATATATATATATATATATATATATATATATATATATATATATATATATATATATATATATATATATGTATATATATATATATAGGGTCCGGATTCGGTAGTAACCCAAAAATTGGTAGGAACCGCGACAACTATTCTCCATCAATCATTTCATCAAGAGCACAAACATCAAACCTATTTACGTGCGCATGACATGTTCGCACGCGACACACGTGCATGGAATGTAATACATACTCAAGGGAATAATCATACGCAACGAACGTTCGTGGAACGTCATTTAAATGAGTTTTACTTTTATTTTTCATTTATTTTGGTTTATTTTGATTTTTTTTTGTTTTTCGTTAAAAAAATCAGTTTTTTTTCTTAAATGGACATATGCTCGGTTTTAATGTTCTTATATTTTTTTCGTTTTTTAAAAAAAAAAATCTTTTTTTTTTCTAAAAAAAAATCAGTTTTTTTTTCAAATACACATATTATTATTATACCATCTATACAGCTTTTAAATAGATACGGATCTTCCCAAATATAATATTTTAAGTAAGAAAATAATTGTTTTTCTTTTGCTAGTAGTTATATTTTTCAATAATATATCGGCAGCTAAGTAGTTGATTATATATGCATTCCAAGGTGTCTCCTTGTGAGTTGACATTAGATATTCATTAGGAAAAGTATCATCAACCTCTATTATATTTAGATTTGGGTTTCAAATCGAGAAAGATGGTCAACTGCTACATTTTATGTTCCAATTTTGTTGTGTATTTTTATACTGAATTCTTGTAATAATAAAATCCATCTTATAAATATTGGTTTTGAATCTTATTTATGAAAAAGTTATTTTAATGTTGCATGGTCGGTAAAAACTATAGTTTTAGACATAATTAGGTATGATCGAAATTTGTCAGAAGTCGAAAACTAGGGCTAGTAATTTTTTTTCTATAGTTATATATATATATTTTTTGTGTTGGGTTAGTGTTTTACTAGCATAATATATAGGATTGAACTTTTTTCAATACTTTGACGTAATATTGCTCCAATTACGTAATCACTTGCATCACACACTAGCTTAAAATGGGTGCAATTATAATTGGTGTTGTAGTTAACATATCCTTCAATTTATTGAAAGTTATTATGAACTCTTCAGTGAAGTCAATTTTGTCATCTCCCAGTAATAGTTATGCTAGAGGTTGTGTGATTTTTTAGAAGTCTTTTATAAGTCTTCTATAAAACCAAGCACGGCCTAAAAAACTTCACATTCCTTTAATATTAGAAGGTGACGGTAATTTGGCTATAGTTTCTATTTTTGCTATGTCAACTTCAATTCCTAGCTTCGAAACCTTATGCCCTAACACAAGCACTACCTTCGAAACCTTATGCCCTAAAATCAAGCACGACCTAAAAAACTTCGCATTCCTTTAAATCCTCAACCTTTTTTGGTACCACATGAATCGGGCTTATCCAAGGGTTGTCTGAGATGGGGTAGATCATTCCATCATCTAAAAATTTTACTACTTCCTTTCTAAAAAGTTCTTGCATTTGAGGATTTAATTTTCATTAAGGTTGCACACTAGGTTTTGAATCCTCTTCCATTAGAATTTTATGAGAGCGGTATGCTAGATTTATTCCCTTAATATCTGCTAATATCCATGCTATTTCTTTCGTTCTTTTCTTTAAAAGCTAGATCAGTTTATCTTTTTGTTGTTGCTCTAAGTCTAGCAATTATAACAGGTAGTTTCAATACCTCTTCTAAAAATGCATAATCTAAATAATTAGAGAGGGGTTTTAAGGTTAATTTAACATGCTTTTCTGGAGGAATTTCTTGATCTTTCTCTGCCAGTTAAATTTCTTCATGTATAAGTTATTAAATTTAAAATTTTCGACCATTTCTCGTGACAATATTTGATATTCGCGGCTAGAATTTTGGTCAATCTTTTAGTTCTTGATTTTTTTTGTTAAGGGTCATTTTAAGATTATTCTTCATCTTTTATGTTTCTTAATAACCTTTCTAGTTCCTCTATTATCTCTAGGTCAAAATCTTCTTTCCCTAGTGTTAACATTTTGTGTGCTTTTGTATCCTTCATTTCTAATATATCTTCTATTACAATTAAGTCTAGCGTATCAATACCGTATGCTTAATCGTCACATATTTTTGAGTATTTCATTTCTCTGTCTATTCTAAAAGTTATTGTTTCTCCTCCAACTCTTAATGTTATTGTCTTTTCATAAATGTCAAATAAATCCCTAGGGTTGTTTAAAAATGGTCTCTCGAGTAGTATTGGTACTTGCCCATCTTTGCTCATATCTAATACTACAAAATCTATTGGAAAGATAAACTTATCCACATTGACTAATAATTCTTTGACCATTCCCTTAGGGAATGTGACATATTTATTTTCCATATTAATTGCCATTCGTGTTAGTCTTTGCTTATGTAAACTAAGTTTTAAATAAAAAGAATAAGACATCAAGTTTATACTTGCTCCAGAAACTGTGAGGGCTTGCGTGACATCTTTTCTAGTAATATTGCGCATTGCTGCTATACATTCATCATTTATAATTACACTCGAAACTTCCTCCATCCTTCTTCGATTCGAAACTAGTTTTTTCATAAATTTTGCATACTTTAGCATTCGTTACACTCCTTCAATGAATGATACATTTATTTGTAATGTTTTTATATGATCCAAGAATTTTTTATATTCTAATTCTTGTTTTTCTTTTCTTAATATTGAGGATATGGAATGGTAGGCTTATATTCCTTTAGTTTAGATGGTTCCCTATTTGATCCAAATTTATGGTTTTCTTGTGGTTCTGGTATATTGACTGTTTGTTCTTGTTCTACTGTTTTCTTACCTTTATTAGGTTTTATGGGTAAAGGTTCTAGTATTTTCTGCTTCTTTTCCCAATGGCTTCTACTTCTGCCTTTGTCTTGTTGTAAATTGTTTTATCTTATTTTCTATGGTTCTAATAGAATCTCGATGTTCTTGTAAAGATAGATCAATGGATTCTTTAATTTTATAACTAACTCTTCTGTTTCTTTCTGCATTTGAGTAGAGATATCAATGAACTGGGCAATCAAATCCTCTAATTCCCATTTTTTTTTTTTGTTAAAAGGTTCTTTTTTATTTCCATTTTGTGTCAAAAGGGCAGTTATGGATTAGGTGAGCTTCCCCACAATAGTCGCATCCCCCTTTTATTTCTTGTAGTTCACTAGTCATCAATTTTATGTGGCTTCCTAGATCTTCTAATTTTGCTAAACCTGCAGATAACTTTTCTGATTTCTTTAATGTATGATCAAGAGGGTGCCATTCTTAAGTATGTTGTGCCATTTTGCTTCTACTAGCATTTTCTTTAGAATCGGTCCTCTATAGTCTACTATTTTCCAAGTTTGTATATTTATTCTGTTACAAAAGATGTTTAGGATCTGGTGTTGGTTTAAATCATGTTGAGGACATGTTATCGGCATTTGCATATATCTATTCGAAACTTCATAGAGTGATTCTTCTTCTTCTTGTTGTTGGAAATTATAGATTTTCTTTTTGAGTTTTTCTATCCTACATAGCAGACAATATTTCTTTACAAATTCAACCTTTAATGGTTGTCATATATTTATAGTTCCTGATGTTATCGATTTTGACCATCTTTTTGCCATTCCTTGTAAAGCTATTGGGAATACTCGGAGCATTATTGTATCTTTATCTACTCCTGAAAAGTTAAATAGATCAACAATTTCTTCCACGTCTTTTGTATGAAGTACTGAATCTTCTTGTTTTGTACTGCATAAAGTTTTTTCTTTTAACATTTATATCAACTGAAAAAATTTCGTAAATAGTCGTCACTAGAGATTAGCATAGACAAATGGAAGCGATACAGTTTTTTATATTTAATTATTTCATTTATTCAGGTCCATGATTCTCACTTTCTTGTTTTTAGCTATTTCATTTATAAGTATTGTAGTTGTAATCACCAAGAGGAAAAGAAGAAGACAGTTAGTGTAAGTATTGTTTGTGTTTAATTTTTGTTTCTTAGTAGGTTGAACATCCCAAATCTGTCTCTATCATTTATCTATACTTTTCCCTTAGGATTTAGGAACATCATCAAATTAAAGATTTTATTTAATGGATTTGATGCAAAATATACTATATTAGGAAATTCTTGGATGTCGATCGAAGTAAATATCACGCGATTGAGAATTGGAAACATGGCATTCTAACATGTGCGAATTTAGATTAGGGAGGTATTGGATATGATGACATCCTTTGTACCTTTCAATGGTCTTCTGTTTGATTGCCTTAGGCTTAAGGAGGAGAACTTGTTTGATATCATTACATGCAATTCTTACATTTGGATTTTGTAATACGAGTAATAGATCTAATTCATCATACGAATACTAGATTTCAGTTCGAGCGATTGGTGTGTAGCCCACTTTTCTGTTTTATTCCTTGTAATGCCTTGTGGGCTTTTGCTAGTATTTTTTTTTTTAAAATAAATAAACATCTTGTTTAAGCTATTATTTAAAAAACACTAGAACACCAAAAAAAAGTTGTTGTATCACTATATGATATTGTCTTATGAGGATGGAAGGTCTAAAATCAGTGGATGCCATTAATCAATACATATGATGAGTTTTTATA